GTAATTGACTTCCATTCAGACCACATTTGTTGATCTCACTGCCATTGCAGTATAAAACCATGCATTTTGTAATGTCAGCATTTCATTTAGAAGAAAAGTAGTGATATTTGATATTTCTACTCTATTCCAACAGATTAAACCATTTTCCCACTGTAGGCTGATGCATGACATTTTTACATTTTTGCCAGTTATATCATGGAGCCGTGTGACTACCAGGGGGCCCCGAGAGTGGTGTGTGTGTGTGTGTGTGTGTGTGTGTGTGTGTGTGTGTGTGTGTGTGTGTGTGTGTGTGTGTGTGTGTGTGTGTGTGTGTCATTTCCAGCAGCAGACCTGCAGCATGTGACCTGGTGCTCTCTCAGGTGATAGAACAACAATATTTTAGGCCTGTGCACAACCAGCACACACCTCTCCTCCCTCTCTCTGTGTGTGTGTGTGTGTGTGTGTGTGTGTGTGTGTGTGTGTGTGTGTGTGTGTGTGTGTGTGTGTGTGTGTGTGTGTGTGTGTGTGTGTGTGTGTGTGTGTGTGTGTGTGTGTGTGTGTGAGAATCTGTAAGCATGCACGGATCATTTCATGGGAACAAAAGGCCATCTTTTGAGGGATGTGTTTGATGTGTCTTTGAAGAGCTGCTTGATTACTCAAAAACAAAAAACAACTGTTAGTGTGTTTATGCACCTGGCTGCCAAAGATAAACATGCAGTTTGACCAAGGGCTTATTTCATTAGTGAGCAGAGAAGGAGAAAGACCTGGAGCAAAGAGAAGGAACTCAAATGAAGAAGCATTTCAGTGCAGAGGAGACTTCAGAAATAGTGTCCTTACAGATTGTGAGAAGAAAGCCCCCCGTGGTGGTGGATGGTGGGCCGGACCCTCAGTGTCCTCTCCACTTTCAGATGAAGGGTCAGAGGAACTCAAAGAAATGCTGGACTCCAGAGAGCATTCAGTGTCAGACCCCAGAGAGCATTCAGTGTCAGACTCCAGAGAGCATTCAGTGTCAGACCCCAGCTCGAACCTTGTGTCTTCTTCAGATGAGTCCTGCAGCTCGCTGGCAGAAGAAGGCTGCAAGATTATTTCTGAAGTCTCTTCTGCACTGAAAAGCTTCTTCATTTGAGTTCCTTCTCTTTGCTCCAGGTCTTTCTCCTTCTCTGCTCACTAATGAAATAAGCCCTTGGTCAAACTGCATGTTTATCTTTGGCAGCCAGGTGCATAAACACACTAACAGTTGTTTTTTGTTTTTGAGTAATCAAGCAGCTCTTCAAAGACACATCAAACACATCCCTCAAAAGATGGCCTTTTGTTCCCATGAAATGATCCGTGCATGCTTACAGATTCTCACACACACACACACACACACGGAGAGGGAGGAGAGGTGTGTGCTGGTTGTGCACAGGCCTAAAAAATTGTTGTTCTATCACCTGAGAGCACCAGGTCACATGCTGCAGGACCTGCTGGTCTGCTGCTGGAAATGACACACACACACACGCACACACGCACACACATACATACATACATACATACATACATACATACATACATACATACATACATACATACATACATACATACATACATACATACATACATACATACATACATACACCACTCTGCTGACATTACAAAATGCATGGTTTTATACTGCAATGGCAGTGAGATCAACAAATGTGGTCTGAATGGAAGTCAATGAGGCATTTTTGAGAGAAATTAAATAATTAAAATAATTAAACAGGACTGCAGACAATATAGCTAGGACTCAGTCAAACAGTCTGTTCAAAAAGGCAGAATTCCAGGTAAGAAAATCATATGGCATTTGCCATTACACATATTTAATTTAAATGTCTGTTAACACTAGAACCGCCAACAGCGTCAGCACCTACATAGATATCATTTTCAAATCATTGAATTTGTTCCTCTTCATAATTTCCTTATAAACTATGTAGGACGATTTAAAACTCAGTTAATTGGGTTAATTTAGAAATTGCTTCAGTTTATCATCATAACAGATCAAAAAGTTCAGATTCATTTTACAATAAATCAAGGAATGATGCACTTCTACAAACAAAAACAACATAATTAAAACATTTAAACAAACTACTAAAAGTAGATGAACTACATTATTCAACAGTTTACAGTACCTTCTGATAACACAGGGGAAATAAACGAGGCATCTCTTTTCCTCTCTCTCTCTCTCTCCCTCTCCTGACAGCCCGTCAGTATCAGGGTTAGTCAAAATGAATCCCTTGGAGGTTCTAGTGTTCATTTACCGTTTTGTCTTCTCTTTGCAATGCTTAATCGATTTGAAACCAAGTCTAACGTAGCTTAAACTTAACGTTAGCTTCCTAGCTAACACAACACATTCACGCACCTTTCTCTCTGGGTTTTTTGTAGTGACGAATGAAGTTGGCTGTTGTGGTGGTCGTGTCACTGATCTTTATGCTGCAGACCCTGCATACCGTTGTTCTCTTCTTATTAGCGTCATCGACAACATAATCCTTGAATCCAAACTTCACTATTTTTGGAGTAACACTAGCCGCTGCCATGTTAACTGACGCTCCTGCCGTCTAGTGGGTTGCCAGGTTTGCGCGCACGGCGCTATAATCACCCAATCACGTTTTTCGAAAAAACTAAACATAATATCTCACTACAAAAACAAACGCAAATATTTAATTTTAAACAGTCAAGTCCTTTCAAGTCATCTGTCTCAAGCTTAAGTCAAGTCTCAAGTCATGAACACTAAGTCAAAGTCAAGTCAAGTCTTTTATCAATGTTAGTCAAGCAAGTCTCAAGTCAAAAAATATGCCACTCGAGTCTGACTCGAGTCAAGTCATGTGACTCGAGTCCCCACCTCTGCAAAATACCCTCAGTCTCTAATGCAATGACGTCAAACAGAGTTTTAAAAATACATTTGTTACTCTCTGGGGGGGTATATACATTGACAATGTCACCACTGCGTTTTCAAGTTTTCCTTTCACTAATACATATCGTACCTGTTTGTCCCTAACTTCTTTATGGAGTTCAAATTGAACTTCTTTATGGAGTTCAGACATCTACTGTCCCACAAACGTGTCCCCAACATGGGGTGGAAGACTAAAGCCGCCCAGCTGTATAGCCCTTGACCTGAACGAACTTCTTAAGTTCTTGGGAACAAAGGAGGGGTTCGGCCTGAGTGTCGACACGCTACGGTCACCCCGGATCCACAGGCAACTCGGGTGTACCGATAGAGCGGTCAGTTCGGACACTCTCTTGGCCAAAGTCAGGGCCAGCAGCAACGCTGTTTTTAATGACAACTCCTTCAGGGAGGAGAGTTCAAGAGGCTCAAATGGTTCTGTGACCAGAGCCTCGAGCACCAACGGCAGGTCCCATTGCGGGGCGGAGGCGTGCACTACTGGGCGCTGCCTCCTGACCTCCTGCAAAAACCGCAATATGTCAACTGTAAACAAGCGGTTGACTGAAGGCTGACCTGCCGCCAAATCCCTCATGACAGGATGAAATGGCTGCTGCATACACTTTAACTGTGGAATAAGCAAGCCCCCTGTCCACCAGTAACTGTGAATAGAGCCCAGCGTAGAAGATAAGGGCTCTAGACTTCCCTCTTCACACCATCGCTGGAATGCCAACTTCTTTGGTCTGTAACAGGCTGTGGTGGATCCTGCCCTTGCTGCCTGGATAGTCTGGATAACTTCGTCAGACAATCCCCCGTCTCAGCCTGTCCCTCTCAGGAGCCAAGCCTGGAGAGGTTGGCCCAGAGCGGGTAACGCCCCTATTGCCCCCGCCCCCTGAGACATCGCCCCCCAGACCTGAGGAACTGCCCAGGGCTGGCTCACCATCATCTGTGTCACCTCCGCGAACCACGGCGCCCCGCGGCGGTCTGGGGCCACTAGGATGACTGACAGATGTTCTCGTCTCACTCTCTGCAGGAGGGGAGGCTGCAAGCCGTCCCCGGCGTGTTCAGGCCCCAGACACTCGAAACACAGGCGGTGGGGATCGGCACCTGCAATTAGGACGTTGCACGTAGGGCAAGGTCGATGCTCAAGGACTGGTGAGTTTTCCATTCTCAATCTTCTTCTCTCTCTTTCGCTCTCTCAGTTGTTTATCCTGCTCACTGAAGAGAAAAGGATGACGGTCAGGAGGTGAGGCCGCCTTATATAGGGTGGGCTGCCCGCACACTCAGGTAGGCCCGCCCCGAGGGCCGGCTACGTTTCAAAATATCTCAGTAGGTGAACACTTGCATAGCGAGGTCAAGGGCAGTACCCATAGAGTCCAGTAGAGGGCGGAGCCTGTGAGATATAACATCTATTCCAGTTTGACTTTGGACAACTGTATATCTGTTGCCCCTTTTTTTTGTCCATTTTAAACCGGAAGAGACAGCAATGTTAAAACGATCCACAACTTAGAGGATACAAGACCTCAGTGTGCTTGAGTACATTTTTTTTTAAAAACTAATAATTGCTGTTCTCAAGCTGAGAGGCAACTGATCCAGCTGCTATACTGCTGCCATGTGCAGAGAGTCCTGTTTTAACACATTTCAGCCCCAGATTGTTTTCTCATTACATTAAAGTCAGGGATCCACGTAAGAATGCCCTTGATTCTTCTTAAACTCAAAAGGTCCATCTTATGAACTGATCCATCTGCACTACACTGCCTTCCTGCAACGTGTGGAGTACCTTTTCTTCACCTGAAAGATTTCCCACAGGAGTTGAGACCACAGCAGTAGATTAGATGGAAAACAAGAAAATATTTTTCAGGTTAAACTATTCTTGATTAAAGTTGCTGATGTTTAAATGAACTAAAACTGTACTCTGAAGTGATCCTCAGATGTCCCTTATTCGTATTCTTAAAGTGTTCATATCAGCTGTTCACACACACTTTATAAAACACACAATGAGCATAAGTAATCCACACATAATGTGAAGGGTTATTGGATCTTGTTAGCTCACATGAGAACTGAAAAATAGAACTTGGTGTGATTACAAAGACATCAGATGTTTACTTTTTTTTTTTTAAACTTTATTAACAAAGAAAATAATTTCAGACTTGACTTTGTCATCCCCAGGAAAATGAGATTAAAATCAAATAACTTTTGTCATATTCCTTAAATTGTCTTCAGTAATGTGTGCCATGATGCAAAATGTCCGAAATATACAATGATAAGACAATATAAGTGTTAGATTTAGCATCAAGGCATGTCAGGAAAGTACAAATGCTTCTTATTTCATGTTTTTCTTCTATGATATTACAGTTTCAAAGGCAGGTTATAGCGTTTTCAGAATTCATCAGATCATTTCAATATATGCGGTAAACATGGTGTGCTGTTTTAGTAGCAATGAAACATTTACAGAAAAAAAAATGCATTGATCACAATCTGATAACAAAGTGTATACAACGCCCATCCCATAAAACACATACATTTATAACATTAAATGATATTGAACCTGATTTCAAATCAAATTGTTGTCCCACTTAGTGTGATTGAGAGGAGAGATGATCAGAGGGGCAGAGTTGTCACCATTAAAGTTACGAGAAGGACAAAAGAATGGGTAGAGTTTCTCTTTGAAGCAGCAGTCAGTGAAGGAGTAGATCAGAGCTGCAGCATCAGCATCATAAAAGGAGACCAGACCCTCCTCATAATCCACAAACACCCCCACCTTCTCAGGAAGAGACTTCAGAGAGAGACCGAGTTGCATACAAGCATTGGCTTTGTACTCATTTTCATTCCTCAACATTATCGTCCAGTAACCATTCTGAGGAGTCACTGTGATGTTTTCCTTCCTGTTGATCGACTCTCTGGCCACTCCTAAATACCACCCAGTCTTCCCTTCAACCTGAACCTCGTAATAAAATCTTCCTGAAGAGAAACTCTGCTTTGCTAAAACACAAGAACAAGGATTAAAACTCTCTGGAGTGTCTGGGAGATTCTTCTTCACATCACCATGTTTAACTTGTTTTCCATCATCCGACAGGATGAGGTTGGGATGTGCTGTATCAGGATCAAGAGTCACCTCCACCTCATACTTCTGGACCCTCATCAGCTCCACCTCCACCTCATACTGCTGGACCCTCTTCAGCTCCACCTCAGCGAGCAGCTTCTTCATCTGTTTCCTGAGCGTCTCCTCCAGCTGAGTCAAAGCTCTCACCACAGTCCCCTCATGTGAAGGTGGACGGACCCTGACTTCTGTCCAGTTCTTGGTGGGTGGAGCAGCGTTCAGGGACGTGAAGCTTTGGAGGAGGTGGAGCTGGTCTTCAGAGCGTGAGAGCTGCTCCACCTCAGAGCTTCTCTTCTTCAGCTCAGAGATTTCCTGTTCCAGCTCTTTGATGAAGCCTTTAGCCTGTTCCCTTGTCTCTCTCTGCTTCTCTACGATGGTGGTGATGATCTCGTGCCGGCTTCTGTATACAGACTCCGTCAGAGCAGTGGTGCCCTGAACACCATCTGCTATCCCTCTGTCTACTCCTTCCTTACTGACCTCCACTGAGCGATTCATCTCCTGAATCTTCAGTCGTCTCTTCTGGATCATCTGCTGAATTTCAGCCTCTGTCTTCCCCAGCTCTGCCTTCTTTCCTTCATATCCTTCTTTCAGAGGAACAACATCATGTGTCTTGTGGTCTAAAACACTGCAGATCATGCAGACACACACCTGGTCGGTCTTACAGAACAGCTCCAGCAGTTTATCGTGCTTCATACACATCCTGCTTTCCAGGTTCTCCACAGGGTCGATCAGCTGATGTTTCTTCAGGCCTGCTCTTGTCAGGTGAGGCTCCAGGTGAGTCTCACAGTAGGACTCCAGACACACCAGGCAGGACTTCAGAGCCTTCAGTCTGGTTCCAGTGCAGGCGTCACAGGGAACTTCTCCTGGTTTGAAGACTTGTTGAGCTGACTGTCTGAACTGAGCAGCCATCTCCGAGATGAAAGTGTTGACCTGCAGATCAGGTCTTGCGTGGAATAACTTTTTACAGTTGGGACACTGATAGGGAACTTTAGTATCCCAGTGTTGAGTGATGCAGGCTTTACAGAAGTTGTGTCCACATGGTGTGCTGACTGGATCAGTGAACACATCCAGACAGATGGAGCACAGAAACTGATGTTCAGTCAGCAGACAGCTGGCAGCAGACATGTCTGTAAGAACAAAATGGGTACAAAAAAAACAAGGTTTTAACAAAATGTAGTAGAGAATACGGTATGCATACTGGACGTAAAAAGCTGACACTAAAGTGCACTGCTTGCTTTAAAAGTTAAATACTATCCTTAATGTGTTAAACATGTAGATCATTTTACAGTGTGATTAAATGTCCTGCTATAACTCTGTGGCCCATAAACAACACATGACCACAACTCAATTATATTATTTGAAAAGCCTAATCCATCAGAATATATGTAATCATAGCCTCTTAAGCGTGCCGTGTCGGGCCCGTTTTTTGGTTGCGTTTCCACTATGCCTAGTTCCGGCCCGGGGCTACTTTTTCACCTTTTCTCTGGCCCGATCGTGGTTCTATCGGGGCCAACAACCAGGCTGAGTCGGGCTGAGTTTGCTAAACTAGAGAGAGAATCGCTGGCAAGGGGGCTACAACTACAACAAGATTAACATATTTGACCGTGATTTAATTGTAATACACGTTTCAAAATGATGCCGAAGTAACAACATACTGATACCGGTTAGTAAAAACCATGAATTAATGCTTTGACAAGTCTGCAGACAGATAAATGCTTGTTTAAATGGAGATCGGCTAAGCTAACACAATATGCTCCGACCGTCCACACTCACAACAACGGACTACAGACATAAATAAACCAGCGACTGTATTCGCCATGACACAGACAGTCTGTGGTTTGTACTTGTTTAACTTTTGTCTAGTTTCTGAACAGATATGAGGAGCTGTGAGCTCTGAGTGCTAACAGCTAACGGCTGATGTTGTTTTTCTGGGGTGCTCATTGAAGATGACGTCACGGCTCCGCCTACACTGCGTTACTATAGTTACTGCCCCAGCTACTAAACTGTAATGGAAGCGCAGCATTAAAGTGAGCCGGGCAGAACAAGGCCTAAGAAAACCGTACTAAGTCAAGCGAGGCCTGCGGTGGAAATGCGCCATTAGATAGCTGAGAAATGGAAAACTGATCACCAAACATTTAGATAAAGGTTTCGCTCCACTCCACCCTATGTAGTTTGGTTTTCGTGCTCACCACTCCACTGAGACAGCCAACTGTGTCTTTGTGGAAAAGGTTAAATCTATGTTGGACACGAGCCCATATGTAGGTGCTGTCTTCCTTGATCTCAGGAAGGCTTTTGACACTGTTGACCACCAAGTGCTCCTTACAAAGCTGACTCATTTCAATTTTTCGGCAGATCCAATACAGTGGGTTGAGTCTTACTTATCGAACAGAAAACAGTGTGTTTTGGTCAACGGTACCAAATCCCCCTACCTTGTCAACCCTGTGGGGGTTCCACAAGGTTCCATTCTTGGACCAATACTGTTTTCTCTGTACATTAATGAATTGCCTAATGTATGTCCTTATTTGAATGTACAATTGTATGCCGATGATGCGGTCATCTTTGTACAGGGGAAAATTACTGAAATAATCACATCCTGTCTCTCAACTGCATTGGACAAGGTTCAACACTGGCTGAACAACATTTGCTTACAGTTAAATGCAAAAAAAACAGTATGCATGATGTTCAGTTAACGACCAGTCAAAATCGAAGGATCCAATGTGTTTTTAAACGGAGCAGAATTAGAACTAGTCCCCCACTTCAAGTATCTTGGAGTCATACTGGACTCGAACTTGACTTTTAAGAAACATATTAATAAAGTATCCAATACCGTTAAAATCAACTTGCAACATTTTAAACAAATCAGACCTTTCTTAACTGTCAATGCTGCAAAGTCATACCTCCACTGTATGATTCTATCCCACATTGAATACTGTTTTACAAACTGGTCGTTTGCTTGTGCCACAAACCTGAAACCCATAGAACTGCTGTACAAGAGAGCTATCAAGGTGTTTGACAGAAAGCCTAATTCATACCACCACTGTACCATCCTTGATAAACACAATTTCTTGAGTTTTGACAATTTTTAAAACAAGTCTTTTAACCTGTTAAGCACCAAGCCTGTTTTTCATGTTTCAGGCTCGAAAATGACATGCCCAAAACAAATGACTTCGATTTTGATGGTTGACATCTCTTTCTGACCGTTAGAGCCAATAGAATCGAAGGGGGAGGCCCCCACACACACTCGTTGTGAAAACAAACGGTGGGGGCTTCGCGCATGTAATTTTGCAGCAGAGTGGACCGATCTCTCGCTCTGACATTTGGAAACGAAAAAGCAGTTTTATTGCTTATGGATGATCAGAAATCATTTCAAAGAGGGCACAGATACATTCGATGAACCTATGGATTAACTGCAGCATCGTTTTTTTATCGTTTTCATGCCATTGAAGACCAGTTTTGACCAAGGTAAGCCATGTTAGCGTTTCTAGCTACCTAGCTCCACATGTTATGATGTACGCTTTCGTTTATAGCGTCGCAAATGTTTATCACTGAGTATTGAGGTGGGCACCCCCAGATTCAGTGTCTCCAGGACACCAAAAACGAGTGGTTTGCTGTGCATCTAGGATAAGTAATAAGGGAGTTATTGTGAGTTTAGTTGCAGTTTTAAGTTACATTTTTTCGCTCGTGGCTAATACAGAGGCTGAGTGTTAGCATTGTGGGGTTTTTTTGGAGAAAAAAAATTAAAAAGATCAGTTAGCTGAGTTTCTTCCCGTTACATGGATATAAAACATTCATAGTTTATTAAATATTAAGATTCCTTAGACGTTGTTTCCTGCAAATGACGCGTTTATCCGCCCGGTACCGGGGGGGCCGTGCGTAACAGGTTAAAAGTATGTGTTTTCTTTATAAATGTTTACATGGACTGGCCCCCCCTCCCTTAGGGGAATTCATCCACAAAAAACCCACTGGACGCTGCACTAGGTCAGAAACCAGAGGAGACTGTGAAGTCCACCATAGACGGACCACTTTTGGATAAAATGTCCTCTCCGTTAAAAGGCAGCTCATTCTGGAACAGCCTCCCAACTGAAATACGGGATTCTCCCACTCTCAATAGCTTTAAAAGGCCAACTAAAAGAATGGTTGAGAAATAAACAGACGTGCAATCACCGCTAAATGCACTTTAACACAGGGGTATCTCCTCTTGCACTTTATGTAGCACTTGTATCTTCTCTTGCACTTTATATGTCGTAGCTGCTATATTGTATCACCATGTCATAAATACTTGTGTATGCTGCTCTTGCTCTTTTGCACTTTTTGCATATCATGTATTTTGTTTTTGCTATGTTTGTAAAATGTAATTTTCTTAAATGTTTTATGTGAGGGACTGCGGATGGAAATTAGCTCAAAGCAAAATCTGGCACTGTTACGCTTGACACATTTTAATGTTTTAAGTGTTCATTATTGAGCATTGTCCATGCCAAATAAACGATACAAAAAAAAGAACACTACAGGAAAGGGAAAAACCCTAAAAGCATAATAGGGTTTCTTAAAAAATTGCCCTGAGAGGAATTCCTGAGGTTCTGAGTTTATACCTGATGTTGAAACATTGTCAATTATCAGCTTTGCTGCTTGTGGTAGAAATTCTAATTCCCTTCAGAGAAACTGATAAATTAGTCATGTAGAAAGTTTTTATTTTGTTATATTTAACAAAGTAATAAAGAAAGTCAAATACGATCTAAAATGCAGGAACAGAGCAACTTCATCCTCAGATGATAAAGAGGGTCTGCACCCCGAACACAGCTCACATTCCCACTACGTAGAAGAAAGAAACCAGTCTACTAATCCTACCCATTTTTTTTTTTGTTTTTAATTAAAATAATAATAAGTGGCGACCCTTTTTCATTTTTGATTGTTTGTTATGTGGATTTGTAGTATTTGTGTTACTGTATGTTCAATAAAGGTGTATTTTTGCTAAATCTTGAGACATTGCCACTAGGGATGTCCCGATCCGATCACGTGATCGGGGATCGGGAGAAAAAAATCGGGGATCGGATTTTTTTTTCTTTTTTTTATAAAATATTTTTATACATTTTATTTAATGTTACAAAACAAAAATGACCATGTTCACGTCTTAAAGTCATCCTGAGGCCTTAGTTTTGGGTTAAAATTACACAACATCATGTATGTGTTGCTTCTTTTGGGCTTGTTTTCATAGACCTGGTTGCTTATTTCTCTCAAATCTGGCAACAGAGTGGGCGCAGTGTCTAATAGTAGCAGTAAGCTAACAAGAGGCTACATTCAGCTGGTGACTCGGGAGTCGGGACAGAGAAAATGTCAGGAGTTTGGAAGTATTATAAAATTGAAAGCGAAGGCAGTGTAACAGCCAGATGCAATGTTTGCAAGGCGGAGGTTCCGCGTGGTGGAAAGAACAGAGCTACGTTCAACACGACCAATCTAATACAAACACCACCAACAACAACACGACGAGTACACAGCGGCCACTCAGGTAACGGCATTGAAACAACCGACACTTTCAGAGACTTTTAAAAGGAAAGAGAAACTGCCCCAGAACAGTGAAAAGGCCAACAAAATAACAGCCAAGATAGCTGAATTCATCGCGTTGGATGACCAGCCGTTATCTGTTACCTTTTTTTCCTCTTAATGCATTGCATAAAGATCGGATCGGGAAAAATCGGTATCGGCAGATTGTCAAAATCAAATGATCGGAATCGGATCGGGAGCAAAAAAAGGTGATCGGGACATCCCTAATTGCCACTGTATGTACTAGGCAGGGCCGACATAGGCGGTCGCCTAGGGCGCCAGATCTGGGGGCGCTGCGCTGGTAGCTCTGGGAGGGGAAAAAACATTTTTGACCGTTGGCGCTCATCGTAATTTTCGGCCTTGATGTAACAACATTCATAATTAAGTAAATGTAACACCCGGTTACACTTTTCATTTGCCCTGTACGATGGGCGCTGTAAGTGATGAAAGTGGGGGATGTTGGCTTATCAGGCGCCCGCAGCTCACAGCCAAAGTGCGAGCGTGGGAGCGAGAGAGCGAGCGAGGGAGAGAGAGAGAGAGAGAGGGCGCACTGGTACCGGCGCTGTTGTTATTAGAATCTGGTGCTAGC